AGAAGCAATTTTTTTTTTCGAAGAGTAATTAACGTTAGCGTGCTCCCTCTGTCTTAAAAAAATTTCAACAAATAAACAAAAGCTTGACATGGCCTCTCTTTTGATTTTGGAAAATTCACAGCTCCCAAAACGTTTTGGGAATCGTCTTTGGGACATTTCGAATGATACTTAAACTTCACTCCAGTTGACAAGGGCACCATGAAAGTTGCAGAGAGAAGAAACTGAGAAGACTACGAAGCCAAGTCCAATCAGCACTTCTGAGCTATGTGTGATTTCCTCGCTGCAGGCGCATTTGCGATGACATTCAACTTTGGGAGAGAAGAAAATCTAGTGGACCGCAAAAGGTACAAATCAGCCTCAGAAGATAATTTGATTTTTTTATGGTTTTTATTATAATTTTAAAATTTAGTTTGATCTGGTGGGTAATCTGAGACCTGGTTGATCTGGAATCCAAACTAGATTGGATTTGTATATATAGGATTTAATGTTTTGTAATGGTAATTGAAGTAGCTGCCAGCCTAATGACACACCTTAATACCGAAATTATATCTGGATAATATTTGATGATAATCAATAAAGAGGTTATTGATGTGTTCTTAAAAGCGATTGTTGGTATATGAGAAATTAATTACATATTTTTTTTCTTGAGAAAGGAGGCTCATGGCATTCTTGCCTGGACTCCACTTTTGTACTGGAATACAAAAAAAGAGGTTATTGATGTGTTCTTAAAAGAGAGTGTTGGTACATGAGAAATTAATTACATATTTTATTTTCTTGAGAAAGGAGGCTTATGGCATTCTTGTCTGGACTCCACTTTTGTACTGGAATACAAGGGGAAAATGCAAAAATTATCCGTTGGTGATCTGTTGGACCTTGAGAGGTATAGGGCATATTATTACATAATAACTAAATAAATTGTAGTTTTAAGAAGTTAAAATCTATTTCACTAAAGAAAGCTACCAGATATATAGTCACTGGACTATCATTACTTGAGTAAATTCAAGTTTCGTTAGATCATGAATTATTTCATGCCAAGCGTTTTACGCCATTGATATTGACTTTAACTTGTGTTACATCCAAGTCTTGCATGTGGTATGCTTGCTAGAAGCAAAAACATGTCTCGTGGATTACATGCACAGAAACAAGTCTCCATTTATCTCTAATTACTTGATTTTATGGCCTTTTCTTCTTTCATGGAAAGTTCGGGGGCTTGGAGGCTCATAAGAAGAGACTTGTAAAGGGATGGACCAATAAACTGCACCTGCATGTGGTATGCTTTCCATGGAAAGTTCGGGGGCTTGGAGGCTCATAAGAAGAGACTTGTAAAGGGATTGACCAATAAACTGCACCTGCATGTGGTATGCTTTCTGGAAACGAAAACAAGTCTTGTGGATGAAAGGAACATTCAAAGACTGGGATTCTGATAATATCAAATGAAAATTTGTTGATGGTCTTGGGAATTCATGGGTGCTAGCTATCATCGTGGGTTGGGTCAGACCTTGTGTGGATCAATGTAGCTTAAGAAGGGGTTCTTGTTCAGTCTAATTTAATATGTTTCTTTATCTCTGTTTATGCACGCTCCACTGATCTTGAATGGACATTTTATATGTTCACCATGGATTGAGATTGGTGACTTTAATGAGACCTTGTTGCCTGCAGAAAGAAAGGGCTCCGAGCCTTTTCACAGTCGATACAGCTGGTGGCTTCAAATATGAACTTTGTAACCTGTGGCATGATGTTTGTGTCAAGGTATCTGTGTGTGTGTGCTGTGGTGCTGGTGTTCATTCGTTTATATATAATATCATGTGGAAACGACAAACTGCTTATTTGGGACAAACAGGATTGCCAAAAGGAAATGGATTTCAAGAGCTCTTGGTCATGTTACATGGCGCACCTAGCAAATGAAAGGCCATTTGATTCGATTGTTTTCACCAGCTAATATATTCTTCTATGATGTAGTCTAATAATACTTTAAAGCCCGAGCAATCATAAATTGGAATTATCGCTTAATTATTAAGAAAAAAGATCGTTAAAAAAAAAGGAAAAGGAATAATTAAGGGCACGCTTGATTTCATCTTGATTATTATTATTATAACTAGTGCCTGATTGTCCTTCAAGTTTACAACTTTATTTTTATTTTTAACATTAATATATTAAAATGATTTAAAAATATAAAAAAATATTTAATATTTTAATAACACTCTCAAATAATTTTGGACATTACTCTTTTTTTTCCTATGTCTTTGTAAACTGGTTTTTTGCTGTTGGCTATGGGCTAATTGTTGGTCCAGCTTAGAAGTTGATATAAGGCATGTTAAATCATTGCTTTCACGACTCCCAAACTATGCCAATCATTTGGTGGTGTGTAGCATGTATAATGATAATACTCAATTCAAAAGAAAGAAAGAAAAAATCTGGAAATTCTACCATCAGTTGGGGCCATGCCCAAACGGCTGGTTGGATTTCCAACTAGACTCTTTCCAACTTTGTTTTTAGTCCAAACGGCTGGAAATATTCGTACATTTTTCAACATGGCCATACTACTCATGGTTATAGATTCCTTTTCTTTTTATGTATTTCAATTTATATACATTACACTTATCTTATACTTGCTCACGTAAGTACTATAAGTTTCCTTGTTTCAATAAAAAAACTTGTTTTTAGATGAACATCCTGCTTCCCATCAAGCCCATCAACTAGAGGCCATGATGCATAGGACAATTGAACAAACAAGAAAAATGCTTATGAATTACTCGAGATCTTATAATTTTCAAAATCATTTCTTTATCTTTTGAGTTTTTTTTAATAAAAACAATGATTTTTCTCATACATGACGTCCATAAATTTTTAATAAAAACAGTGATTTTTCTCATACATGACGTCCATAAAAAAATCTTTATGGTGAAATCTTCGTAACTTTATAAAGAATCTCTCTGAATTCTCCATGAAAAAATAAAAAATCTCCATCTTTACATCTCGAAATTATTTTTTCGTGAATGTCCAAACTCCTATCAAGCCCATCAACTAGAGATCACCTCGATCACTTTACCAGCCATCCAAGATGTTACGTTGGTTGCCATTAATGTGCAACAACCATTATCATATATATACATAGGTGACTCGACATGTACTGCCACAACCCATAAGCATAAACTAGTTTTTTCGGTGAGGAATTGGAGAGGCATTGCTGCAAATGGCTACGGGTCAAATGTTAAAAGTTGTTTCTTGTTTAGGGAGAACAGCATATGCTTTTATCTTGATGCTCAGTCACATCTCCATCGTTTGTTTGCATCTTTTACCCTAGAAGATCAAAGATTCTGAATAACTCATTGCCATCAAGTGCGATTCCACATCAGAATTGTCCTTGGAAGTGAAGTTTCAAGATCTAGCTTGTAGACTCCTATAATAAAAGTGAGCCAATTGGATTTTACTACGTACGGAGTATGTTGGTCCCCTTTAGCACGTTATGATTCACATGTTAGTGTTCACAATTTGGTTAATCTTTAGGCGGAATTGCAAGATTCTGAACATAGAAACTTTTTCTCCGGCCAAAAATTTGAAATTATAGTAAGAAAAATGTGAATTAATTGGATAATCTTGCAACATATACTGTGGTTGAGCGTGGACCAAACTATTGGAGCGATTATGTTAAAAATAGCTTAAGACTTCAAAAAAAAAAAAAGATACCCTAAGGAGATGGCTTAGTAGTTCAAAATGTCATTCTTTCTACTTTGTGGATTCAAATCTTGAAACTAGTATTTTGATGAAAAATTTATTTAAATGTAAGAAATTAATGTGAAAATACATCTATAAAATCATTTAAATAACTAATCTTGATTAACATATAATTAAGTCTATTCTAATTCATCCCTTACCGTTCATTAAAAAAGAATATTATCTAATATTTTAAAATCTTGAGGAGCCTAGCAATAATAAGAATAAGGGACTCAGATGACAGCACACCTAAAAATAATTAAGGAATTGATGGCTTGTTTGTTTGATGAAAAAGTGCTTTCATGAAAAGCATCTTCATGATTTAATTTTTTATATCTGATTATATTATGGAAAACTAGTTAACAAAATTCACTTTTTGGTTTAAAAACACAAATATAACCTTTAAATGGACAAGAAATGATTTCCAGCTTACTAATTTTTAATTAAATATTAGAAAGTAATTTATTTCTCAAAAATCATTTTTCATAATATTGCTAAATAAAAAAAATAATAATTTATTTATCATGAATATATGGAAAGTGCTTTTAAGCAAACAAACGAGGATGCCCAAGTGATTTTCTGAAAATTTGAAGGAACGCCATGGCCCTCACTCAATATTCCTTGTCAACTGTACTGTGTAAGCCTTGATATATTACCTAGCACTAAGATTTCTAAAAGCATGGATCTATAGGTAACACACTTTTTTGGATAATGGGCATAAATATGATATTACAAATAGTATCAAAACCATTCCAAGGAAGCCGATCTCTTGGTTTCACCAAAAAATGTGGTTATATATGGATGGTTGGGTTTTTCTCTTTTTCTTGTTTTCTTTTACGAAATGAATTAAGGATCAGCTTGATCAAGTGAAGTTTACTAGCTAACACTTGAAGATGAGCTGTAACCAATTAGATCACATGGTGGATGACACCTCAGAAAGAGCCTTCTGGTGGGCCCCAAGAACTTTAGGGTACTATGAATGGTACCAGCATTAGGGGCCTCGAACTTGAAGATTGAGTGTGTCAGCCTTCAAGAACAGTAAACCAAATATGGGTGAATAAGGCATTAGGGCTAGAAAGGCTGTTTGGAATATGTTAAAAGCATTGTAACCAACTGGGAAAGAAACCATTTTGAGTTCTTAACACTTCCCACAGTTACATTGATATATTACATTTATTAATTCAACATGCAACTTCCTTGTCAGAAAAGAAAAGATAAGAAACCTTGCAGCTTGACTGGATCGAGTCTCTGTATAAATAGCTCATGAGCTTTGCTAAGCAATACAACATTACCTAGCTAGAGTTTCCATTGAGAAACAGTGACTTTGGTGTTGGGGGAGAGAGTTGAGAGAGACAGACTTATAATTGTCGTACTTGATTTTTTTGTAGTGGAGAGATGGCCTTGCACTTGACATGGGTGTTCGGTTTTGGTCTTTTAGGTAGAAATAATTACGAGTCCTTATTTAATTTGCTCTTCTATGCTTCCGTGTTAGTTCTTTCTTTTTTTTCCTTTTCTCCTGGCTCTCTGATGCAAGGAACGTTTAGTTTAAGAAGTACTCAATGCTCATACATGCAAAGCAGCTCCTACATGTATCTTTGCTTCTCTAAATTATTGATTGAGTAAAAGTTTTGATCAGTTATATATGAATAATTATCCATTGATATAAAAGTTTCAGCTTTTCTTTTCATTTAGCTGAAAGGCAAAATTGCAGGAGGGAGCAACAAAGAATTTTATTTTTGTGGTAAGAACGACCATTTACTATATATCTCGAGAAACTAATTTATATTTTCTTTCCTCTGCGAACGTAGGAAACATCACCTCTTGTTCGGTCTGCCTTTCTCCTCTGTAAGTCCTTGCCTGAAAATTTTAGTCTCCAGTCTTCAGATGTACTCTAATCACCTTCGTCTCTATTAATTAGTTGCTAACACGGTTAACGATGAATGATATTACAGGCCAACATTTTATCAAATTTGCAAGAAGAAGACAAGCGAAGGGTTCCAATCTATCCCTTATGTGATTGCTCTATTTAATGCTATGCTTTGGCTCTTCTATGCGATTTTCAAGAAGGATACCATCCTTCTACTCGCCATCAATTCTTTTGCCTTTTTTATGGCGATAGGTTACATTGTTGTGTAACTTTTTTTTGCCACAAAGAAGGATAAAGTACATCCCATGGACACTAACTTCCGTAACGTTTAAAGCCCTTTCCGAAGTACACTTCAGATTTACTAATATTTTGAGCTCAATTTGGTGCAGATTCTGACTTTCAAACTTCTCCTGCTGTTCAATGTTTTTGGGTTCGGTCTCGTCTGTCTACTAACTCTCTTCCTAACACAAGGCCACAAACGTGTCCAAGTTCTTGGATGGATTTGCATGATATTTTCTTTATGCGTTTTTGTTGCACCTCTTTTCATTGTATTGACTTCGAGCATGCAAAACACAAATTTCTGGCCAATCTTGATCTTTTTCTAATACCTCATTGAATTTCGCAGAGAAAAGTTATAAAAACAAAGAGCGTGGAGTTCATGCCTTTCTCTGTCATTTTTCTTAACTTTGAGTGCACTCATGTGGTTCTCCTATGGCTATCTAAAGAAAGATCAATTTGTTGCTGTGAGTGATCAAATATTTATACATGCATGAAATATAAAATTGACTTCTCATTTAATGATTTTGTTTTAACTTTGCTTCTCTTTCCCATCAACAGATTCCAAACATACTAGGCTTTATCTTCGGTCTTCTCCAGATGCCACTTTATATGATCTATAGGAACCCCGAGAAAGTAATATCTGAACATGTTTTGGACTTGAAAAGTTGGGCCCAACAATCTGTTCCGAGATAACTATAGTGATTCCAAAGCTGAATGATGGTGGAAACGGATTTGTTAATGATCAAAATGCAAAGGGACAGGCCATGAAAATCATGAAAGCCATAGATGTCGTAAACAAACTTTAGCAGCTTTACTGGGGTGTTATTATAATTTGCATGTAACTGTATATGTATGTGGTCGTGCCTTCATTTGTAATTAGTTTCCATTTAGGTAATTTGTCCTTGTGTAATTAAGGCTTCATGCCATTGATGTCTTCCCTGGTGTCATTTTTTTTGACCCTATTTAAAACATAAAAACAAAATAAAAATATAAAAGAAATTGAAAAGATAAAAATAAAGAGCGAAATGGCAAACAACTAGAGAAATACACTGAAATAAACATTGAGAGTTTGAGCCCTTCTCCAAAATAACCACAAGGTAAAAGATAAGGAGATATTAGATAAAATATAGCATATAAAAAATATAAAAAATAAAAAAATTACAAAAAAATGAATTATAATAGATAAAAAGATAGAAGATATTAAAGTCTTTACAGACTTGAGTTGTCATACCTGAGTTTAGAGTATTTAAATTTATACAATATACTCATATTTATTTTTATTTTACTCAAGTCTAACACTCATCATATAATTATTTTTATATCTCACGCAAGTTTTTCAATATTTTATATTAATTCAATATATATTATTTTAAGTAAAATATAACTTAAAATACTATCTCTTTAAATATACTATGAATTTTTTGAGTTAAAGATACACAATTTCTTAATTTTTAATATTTATATTTTCAAATTCTATCTTTTTAAAATATTATTATATTTTCTTTTTAAAATATCAACCCTTATATATAGAGTTGATAATGAGCCACAATAATAAAGTTTAAATATTCTAGATTACAGAACTAAAATTTAACAACAATAACAAGCAAATTCAATCATATATACTAGGGTTGATTAGATAAACTTGGGCACATTCTTGTTATAATAAACTGTGATATATAATATTGTTGTTATTTGAAAAGAAAATGGATCGTGTATATATATATACTTCACACTTTGTTATCATAAATAAATATTAAATTATACATTTGTTTTTGCCACTTCGTCTTGTATCATACGCATGAACAATGCTTTTCCAATCATACCTGAAAGCACTAGCTAGTCTACTTGATATTAAATCCATGCGTGTCGATTCCATTGCCATAAACTAAACTGGAATAATGGATGAGCCCCAGGCCACAACATATCTAGGAGTTTGGCAGAGAATCTCGCATTTGATTGTGGGCTCCCTCGCATGGCTGGCCTGTCTCTTTCTTTTCCAAATCAAGAACATAAATGAACCTCGATGCTTTCCATTAGCAAAAACATATGGTGGAATCAGTGATCTCATCACAGTCAAGAGATAATCACCACTTCGAAAAGCTCAAATCAATGACCATTTATCACTACTGGTCAGTTGCTTCAAGAGGGCACAGTCAATCTCTGTCAAGTATCATACACGCAGTATTGTCTTCTTTCCAATGCTTTCGTTGGCACAGTTTGAGTCTATTTTGCATCCAAAACTTCTAGAGTAGTGCTTGTGCCATGGAGCAAGCAAGCATGCAGGCCGCCGGCCTATATTAGACTGCCTTTATTCTTTTATACCAAATCTTGGGAAACAACAAGAAAGGCAAGGGGGCTGATGCTCTTCGCCTTTAACTTGTAAAACTAGATAGACCAAGTTTTCCAAGAGATTCCATCGGCATGAAAAAAAAAAATCGAATCCCATGAACCCCAACTTTACAAGACAGCATGCCATGGCCTCCTTTAAGCTTAACTTCTTTTCTTATTTCCAGTCCAGTAGATTTTGGAACGGAAACAATAGCAGGGAGTAATGGCGACTGGTTTGTCCCAGAAGCCCAAAGATACTGCAGAGTCTCGGCCTAAACCCAACGAATGGGTCGAAGGCCTGGCAGACTAACCGTGTCCTCGATGACAGCACTCTTCCCCGAGCAACTTAGCTCCAATAACTCAAGGGGTTTGCCCAACTCGATGGAAACGGATGTGATCTCGTGCGCCCTATCCAGTTCACGCTGGCCGAGGTGTCCTTGATCAGAGTTCAATCTCCATCAAGTAAAATATAAATCCATTAAAAATCATTTTGCATTTACAGTTTAATTTTTTTTTTATATTATTTTATAAAACAAAACACTTTTGGGTTATTTGGAAATATAATAAGGGTTGTTGTGGTTTCTTCTTTTTTTTTGAAAATATATCAAAATAATTTTTTTATTTTTTGTGGTTTTTTTTTTTTAATATATTAAAATAATTTTTTTATTTTTTTAAAAAATATTTTTAATATCAGAATATTAAAATAATTTAAAAATATAAAAAATGAAAAATGAAATTTTTAAAAAATAATTAAATTTTTAAATTAAATTTTTAAAAAATAATTAAATTTTTAAATAATGTGATTTTAATATATTTTTAAATATTATTTTTAAAAACAATCATGATAAGACTCTCAAATAACTCCAAAGATGAAGACATTACTGGCAGCATGTGACTTTTAAAATTGGTTTAAAGTTCATCATCAACGCCACATCGCTCCAACAATCCATAATCAAGACAGCTTTGGTAGTGACTTGTTGTCCCAGTTAAGTAGTTTAAGATTGCAAGTAACAGGTACTTGGCTTGTTTTATTTTTGTATAGAAACTAATTTGAGCTTATATATATATATATATATATATAGCTCCAAGATAAAACACGAAAAAATTAGTAAATACATCACTGCTAGTAGTTATTATTTCTAATCATAAAAAAAGGCCAAATCCTTATATCCATTGTCATAAAATGTGTTATATAAATGGAAAATTCTTTACCGATCCTGAACATACAATTCAACAGTAGTTGAAAGTCATGATCTTCCATTCACAAAAAAAAAAGGGTTGAATAATCACGAAATTTAAAAAATAAATAAAAATTTGGATTGGCAAAAACATTTTTTTCCCCCTATGAATGTCAATAAATTAAAACCTATGAATGTCAATAAATTAAAACAAGTAAATAAAAAAATAAGAAAAGAATAAAAGAAGCAATAATTTGATCTACTTGAACTCCAATTATCTTTTATTAGTTAGTGTTTTGATTCTAATAATAATTAATTATTAAAATATTTTTCACTAAAAAATATATCAAAATATTAGATATATTTTTTAAATTCATTTCACTTCAAAACTATCCAAAATCATAAAAAAATAAATAAAAACAAAAACAACATAAATATATCTTCGTTTGAAATACAAAGCATAGCATGAACAACTTATAGAATTGCAAAAACATTTTTTTCCCCGGTGAATGTCAATAAATTAAAACAAGTAAATAAAAAAATAAGAAAAGAATAAAAGAAGCAATAATTTGATCTACTTGAACTCCAATTATCTTTTATTAGTTAGTGTTTTGATTCTAATAATAATTAATTATTAAAATATTTTTCACTCAAAAATATATCAAAATATGAGATATATTTTTTAAATTCATTTCACTTCAACACTATCCAAAATCATAAAAAAAAAAAATTAAGAACAAAAACAACATAAGTATATCTTGGTTTGAAATACAAAACATAGCTACAACAACTTATAGAATCCCTAAATTGTATATTCAGGACTTTTAAAATCAAAATCCTAATATCTATGTTGTGAGGTTTTCTTTTATGGCTTTCATCCATTAACTAAGTGGATTTTAAATAAAAGATGATTGAATACTACATGTTAGCCTAACTACTTGGATTTGGTGTTTTGAAGCAAAGATTTATCGAATAAGAGGCTGCAGGTTAGCCTAACTACTAGGATTTGGTGTTGGTGTTTTGAAGTAAAGATCTTATCGAATAAGAGGCTGCAGGTTAGCCTAACTACTAGGATTTGGTGTTTTGAAGCAAGGAATATATATATATATATATATATGGATGGTAACTTTATTCTCAATATTGAACAACAACTAGGATGCTGAAGACAATGTTGCAAATACTTTCCCAGGCTGAGGACGCTTGTCTGGATTAACAACGAAGCAGGTTGCAGGGCAATGTCACTGCCAGAACTTTATGTTCTATGTCCTATTACCAACAACCACTTTCCAACTAAAATTACAAACAATGGCATGATTGTATGAACTTAAGTTTATTGATTCAGTAGCGGAAAAACAATAGGCCTTTTTATTATTTCGGTAAAGCTTGCGCTCAATCAATCAATAATGAAGGATCCTTGTGTCGAAGGAGGAGGGACCTGATTTACACCAGGTGCCATTGTGCAACTATTTACAAGCAGACGTTACAAATATTACCCTACAAAACACAAATCCAAGCTTGTTAAAATACAAGTACATAAACCATCTAGGTGGTAGTTAAGTGGTAAAAACTTGAGACTAAGGGGTTTGCTCCCTCTGTAATCTCAGGTTCGAATCCTTAGTTGCTCATATGATGGCCACTGGAGGCTTACATGGTCGTTAACTTCAGGGCCCGTGGGATTAGTCGTGGTGCGCGCAAGCTGCCCGGACACCCACGTTAATCTAAAAAAATACAAGTACATATCAGAATATAGACACATATTACACGGGCTGTTTTTGGTTTTTAGCGTGTTTTTTATATATAAAAAAAACGATTGAATAATACAGATGAAAAACAAATTGGTGAAATAGCATAGCATTAGAAAACACAAATTTTATAACTTACCATTATTCAAAATAAAAACATCCAATAAAGAATGTTAAATATGAATTAGAGAGGAGAAAGGAGAAAGTAGTGAGACAAATGAAGAAGAAAAAAAAACTCTGAAAACGCATCAAAATTCTAATTACATATTATTGATATAATTGAAAAGATCTTGACAAGACAAATTTAATAATACCAATAAAAATTATTAATGATAACTCAAGTGAGCACACTTGTTTTCAAAAACAAGTGAGTTATCCTTTCTCTTTAAACAGCAATTATGATTCACTAAAATCATTATTAGTAACTTTATTTAATATTATTATTTTCATGAGATTTTTTTTATTATATTGGAGGTGTCGTAATTAAGACTTCGATAAGTTTTTAACATCTTTTTTCTTATTTTTTCCTTTTCATTGAATATTTTTTATGTCGTTATTTTGAACGATCACATTTCTTTATGTTATTTAACTTTTTTTTTAATTTCAATTGTGTTATTCCACCGAAATTTATAATTAAATATGCTAATTTTTTTAAAAAAAAAATCCATATTACAACATATACATGC